AATACCATGGCTACTAGATCTTCGTCCACATGGTAATCTGTATTTATAGTTTGCTGACGACATCCAATATACGAACTTTATCAATCATAATCGTGACCATCCCGCTCGCAACACAGGCCATCCATCATCCTCCCATTACCATAACTACCTCCTGCTTAAGCCAAATTTACTCCGCATCCCACATCATACCCTTCATAAGCAACCCAGCCACACGCACCCCCCATCATAAAAGCTCAATCCCAAAACTCCCTCGTCGGCGTCCCCACCGGACTAGTCTTCAACTTCGGCCTACTCATAAACACCGCCTCATAATCCCCGCCCTGCCCGCCACTGAGCAGCTCCTCCGCCAGCAACAGCGTGGTATCGACCGCCTCCTCCTCGTCCACCGCCGGGAAGTACCCCCCGCCGGCGGCGCTCCTCCCCGCAACGGGCGTCGACGGCAGGTTCGCCTTCCGCAGCGACCGCCGCCGCTCCAGCTGCGCCTTCTGGCGCGCCGCCTCATACCCGACCATGCTCCGCCTCGTGCGCGCCGTCAGGTCCTCGTACTGCCCCTCTTCGCCGGCGACCTCCGCTTCCTTTTCGTCTGCCGGCAGCGGCTCGGCCACGAGGGGGACGGGGATAGGCGTGGGGCTGGGTGCGGGTAGCCCGTTCTCTTCTTCGGTGTTCTCGAGTGAAGAGAGGTCTTCCTCCTCTTCCTCTTCGTCTTCGTCTTCATCGGCTGGGACTCGGAGGTTGGCATGGGAGGTGCGCTCGCGCCATGGTCAGGCGGGTGCGGTCGGCCAGGGAGAGCCGGTGACGCGGTTTTTTGACAGGTGACGGAGAGGCGGCGTCCATGGAGGCGAGGATATGGTCTGCAAGATCCTGTGTTGGGGATATTGGCCTCTCGGGAGAGGGCGGAGGTTCGGGAGAGGGGGCGGTCAACCGTGGAGGGGAGCGAGTGGGTGATGGCGGGCGCGGCCTCCGTCTTGGGGTTATGCTGAGTCTTCGTTCTGGTTTTTTTGTTGGGGAGTCCGTGATCTGCCGCCTTCTAACGGACGAGGAATTGGATTGCATTGTTGATGACCGCTGAAGGCGCGATGGAGTGACTGGCTCCTCATCAAGGAATGCATGTTCCTCATTGAAGGTCTTCGCCTTCCGTAAAACAGGTTCAAATGCAGGCTCCTCCGACACTTTGACCGGCTCTCGGCGAGAGGGCGATGGACGTGGGAGGACCTGCGTCTGCTCGTGGCCACTGATATCGGATATCACTTCAGACCCCGACTCATTATCCTCCATTCTATATGTTGGCCTCTCTACTCGCGGTCTCTCGAAGAATGAGGGAATGGCTGAAACTGCGGGGCTGATCCTGGATAAATCCAACCTAAGGCCCGTGACGAGCGCCTCGTAGTGGCTATCGAGTTGGTTGGGAATGGCGCGTGGTAGCTTCTTCGGGCTCATGCGGTCGAAATGCAGAGCCTCGTGAACCTTGAATCTGAGATCGATACCTCGTTGCTTGGTTTCCTGTCCTTGCTCGTCCGTTACCGGCTGAGACCCAGACTTGCCGAACATTTTCTGGCGAAATCCCTGCCACTTCTGCAGCCTCTCCTGCTGGCCCCGGACTCTGCTATCCAGCTGACTCAGAAGCCCGGCAGATGCCTCCTCGAGTTCCGCAAGCCGGCCGCATTGCACCCGCCTCCAAACCCTGTCGTACGGGGCATTGAGCAACCCATCGTTGTTCGATTTGCTGTCGCCGTAGAGAAGCGCATCCATCCAACGCTCGTCGCCGGTCCAGTTGTTCTGCACGGTGCTCCAAACTTTGCGCTTTTGGTCATCGGTGATGATTTTCCCCTCGCCGCTTCGCTTCGCAGCTTCGGCGGCCTCGCGCTTCTTTCTGATGGCCTTCTCTTTCGTTGTCAACAAATCTGAAAATTCCCTGAATCGTTCCCGCGACGCATTCTTCTCGGAGAGCATCCGGCGCAGTGACACTCTATGTGCCAACACCAGTGCTGTCAGCTCTGTCTGCTCGCCGGAATATCCTCGATTTTCCAAAGCGAGAATTTGGGCCAAGGCAGGGTAGCCCCCTCCATTCAACTGCTGCTCGGCCACCACCTTTCTTACGACAGCCGACGAGAATACCGCGAGCACCTCCTCCAACCTCTCTCCCTTGCACTCGTCGAGCATGGTTTTGCGCACGACCGCATCCCGACCCAGAATGCCATTCTTTTTTGCTTGTTCCAGCCCCCGAAGCAGTGCGGCACGGAGATTGAGTGATTGGACTTGATCGAGTGGCGGAAAGAAAGGTTGTAATTTGTTGCGGGCCTCTTCAGGGTCCCAAAGCCTAAAGAGGTGGTACAAGGCCCACTCCACGCATTGCACACGCTTTTTTTGCCCGCCTGCGGCATCTCTGGTGCTGAACGTGTGCGTGCTGATGTCGGGCCACTGAGGATGGAGATCGAAATCGAGGAGTCGGAGGTTGCCCAGGAAAAGGGCAAGGTGCGATGGAGCCGTTGGAGAGACGGTCGGGTGGGAAACGGTGGTCGTTGAGGTTGTCCCTGGCGCGTTCCCTCGAGAAGTGTTCTGCGCCGGTTTGTTAGAGGCAACGGTTGAAGACGCCCGAGTCGACCTCGCGCGGCTGAGCGCCGAGGTGCCGTTAAGGTTCGCCATCACGACATTGTCGACTAGGTTTGCTGTTGTTGGAACAGAATCGGCCAGCTGCAATTGACGGCTGTGCGTCGACTCCAGGCGGTCAGTCGGTCAGTCGCGACCTTTGGTGGCTGCACACGTGGACCTGCGGTCTGCGACACCTGCCTCCCTTGAGAACCAGTAATCCAGGTTCAGCCTTGCAGGTGTAAACAATGCAGCGCTGGGGTGCAGGTGGGGCGATCGGGTAACCCGCCGATTCAGGCCGTTGGTGTAAGGGTTAGGGTCAAGTGTTGAAGGTCCCACTCCCATTGTTTGTTCATTGACAAGAGTGCACAGCTAGAGCATACTTCACCCAAAACAGTGAGGACAATCAATCCTTTGTATTTTTTGACTAAAAGCATCTGTTCCTGACACTGTTCCAGAACCTTGACACTACTGCTCTAATCCAACGACAAAATAATTGGAAAACATACAGCTGGATGTATTAGTGGGTGGGTGGGTAGATGGTATTAATTGTGGTATTAAAGGAGAGGCCTGAATTTCTGAAGCAGGCAAGTCTACCTACCTACCTACTTACGTACCTATGTTAACTGTATCTGGGGTTATAGTTTGGCGCTTGCTTCTTGGCGGCTGTCCGAATCCCAAACCTTTCCGTGAATCTCAAAACGGTACGTTGAAAAGCAAGTTTCAAACTCAACGTTACCTACCTCTTTGTAAATGTACCTAGGCTAAAAGCTCTCTTGTTGAAGTGCAGGTCTACTTTTAGGAGTTAGTCCAACCTGCGCTTACTTGGATCTCTAAATCGTAAATAGCCTTTGCCTGAAATTGGTGAAATCCCAAAGATCCAACAGCTCTCCTACCCCCTGTGTTGGTCTTCCCTGCTCGATACTCAACCAAGCCGAACCAAGATTGACCAGGATATATACCAATTTACTGCTCACAGGGCTACAGCCTTCGAGGCGCCAGTTTGGTAGATTTATTGCAACCAAACAGCTAAAGGCCAAGAATCACCGTGTCCGCTGTAGGACACTGTAGAAACAACCACGACGTGGCCGTTTCCAGCTCTCATAAACTAGTAAAATTTGAATTAAAACATCAAGTTGGGAATTAAATGGCTCCAGGGATTCACACCTCTTTAATGGTCATTATGCTCCTTGCCCAGATTGGGGGGAAAGGCTATTGGCCATTGCGTGATGAACAGTGAGCAAGTATAGGTCATGTTCTGAACTTTGTTTGTCCTTCTATCTCAACTTTGTCCGGTCCATAACGCGGTCTCGCGCGGTGAATAAAAACAGCGACCCTTTATTCACACCGAAGCCCTCTCCCCGCATTTCGCGACCTATTTCTTGTATTTATTGGTGTGAACAACACCATCAAATCAACCATCCCACATCAACCATCCCACTGTTCGCCATCCATCAGTAGCCTTCGCCCAATCTACTGACTAGTTTGAAAAGCGCGTTTTTTCTTTTTACCTTTTCTTTTCCCGTATTCTCGCTCCAAGTATCTCTGGGGGCTCGCTCCTCCGTAGGGTTTCTCGAAAGTCGTCAAAAGGACAAGGATTCAAATGTCAGACCAGAATCCTATCCGGCCCGAGCAATGGGCCGTCGCTAACGATTACGGCAACTTGCCCGGCGGCGGCTCGCCCGGTGGCCGAGCCACCCTTCGCGATACGGCCGAGCGGCGAGCGAGCGGGAGCCGGTGGTTTGGGCCAAATGGTGTCTTCGGTCCGGCAAGAAGAACCTTGCCTTCGACGGGGGCCCAGGAAGCCGGTGTGGGTGGTAGGTGCCAGCCATTAGCAGCCAATATTATTCAAAGAAGAAAGCCTAACCGGTTCCATAATGCAGGCAATGAAATCACCCATCCAACCACCCATGATGTCCACCGGGGTAACGAGCCCGCTAGGGCTCCAACGCTCACAGGGCAAACCAACCCGGCCACCACCCCCCAGGCCATCAACTACCGGGCAGCAAGTTACCCGGCGGCAGGTTACCCAGTAGCAACAAGCTACCCGGACGTCAACTACCTGGCCACCGACTACTTGTACCGGACTGCAAGTTACCAGGCCAGAAGCTACCCAGCCGTCAGCAACCCAACAGCAAGTTACCCGACCGCCAGCTACCTAGCTACCATCCCAACCACCATCCCAGCTACCATCCCAGCTGCCATCCCCGGTACCAACCTGAACCCAGCAGCCACCACCACCACCCTGACCCCCTCCCGCATGCAACAAGTCACCACCGCCCAGCTCATCCACGCCCCTCGCGCCCCCCGGCGCGACCTGCACGAGGCGGGCGTATCGGGAAACTACCGCGGGGACATCAACAACCCGCGCAACCTGTCGGCCAACATCCCCGAGGACCACAGCTGCAGCTTCTGGCTGCGGGGGCTGCCCGCCGGCACCACGGTGCACTCGCTCCTGGCCGCCGTGCGCGGCGTCGGTCGCGTATATTGCACGGTCATTGCGCCGGCCAATCGGCCGCATGGCTGGCCGACGGCGGCGGCCAAGTTGGTGTTTTTTGAGAGGGAGGCGGCGCAGCGGTTTTGGGGGTTGTATGGGAGGGGAGTGGGGGGGGGTGCTAACGGTGGTGGTGCGGGTGGGGACGGGGGTACTACTACTACTACTACTACCACGCCGACGCCGACGCCGACGCCAGAGCCCCTTTTGGTGGGCGGGCAGCGTGTTGTTGTTGAGCGGAACCGTACGCGCGTGGCTGAGGCGACGCTGCCGCGTGGCTATACCCGTGTGGTACGCGTGACGGGCCTGCCGGGCGCGATTAATGTGGGCGCGTTGCTGGCGGAGTTTCAGGCCAAGTTTGTGTTTGAGATGGATGAGGTTGCTGTCGGGACGGAGGACCGCATTACGTTTGCTGGGGCGCTGAGGCTGGTGGTGGTGGAGTTTCGGTTTGGGAGCTTCCGCTGCCAGGCACAGACTGCTCATCGCTTGCTCCAGGGACGGGCAGGGTTGGAGGTCCAATACGGGCGCGATCCCTGCGATCGGTAAAGGAGAACTACATTGAAAAATCGTCGTTTTGCGGTGGACTAAGGGAGCCGAGTCGGGCTGGAGTGATGGACTTTCGGACTGGATGTCCACATTTTACCTTGAAGGATGTCGAGCATCAAGGATTGACGTTTACAAGATGTAACGAAGACGCAGGGTATCTTGAAATTAGAGGGACATGATCTGGGGGGATAAAGTATTGGGTCTTGGGGGTGCCACCGAAGATGACTACGTGCCTATGCCCGCGGTAACCGCTACCTACCTTGCTGGGTAGCTGCCTACTTACCATGGCAGTCGTGTTATTGGTGGACTGGGACGTAACCTTTACCAAGGGAGATAGCTTGGTGGTGCAGATGGATCTGCTCTTTTTGAAACACCATGGGATAGCGGGCTGCAACGTTGTCAGCATAGGTCGTACTCCAAGGGACTCTCGGTCATGCCATTTATGTATCTTATTGATTTACAATGACCTAAATTCATTTATCATATTAACATTTTTTGATAATGATAGAATACAATGTAGCCAGCAGTACATGTAAGGTAGGTAGGCTAGGTAGCAGCAACCTAGGTACCTATTTACCTACATGTACATATACCTAGGTAAGTATCTAGGTAAGTATCTAGGTACTGACAGGTTCTTCGACTTATTCGGCCTTTTCTTCAGTGCCTTGCTTTCCGGTCCGCCTTCCGGCCCTGTTTCTCATTTTGCAGGCAGCAGCCCGTCGGTGGTACGAGTGACATCATGGAATTGTATTGAACCACTAGGTCCCTGGTAGTTCTATCAACATGTTGTCAAATTCTGAGTCAGGAACCAACCAGCTGGGCACATTACACTTTCAGGAACTTCGCTGTCCGGCAATCATTGCTTCCGGTCGGCAAATCTGACACCATGACATTTCTCCTTCCCAGTTACAATCCTCCGCTTCAGGTTAAGCGTGATATCGGAGTCATGCGGATCGGACGAGATGGGATGGTGACGCACGCGATTCGGCGGGTTTCTACATGTTGTTAAAAAGGCCAGCAACTGACTCTCCCGGTCTCTCTGTGCTCTCTGCCAGTTTAACTCCCGTCATCGCGAAGACCTCGACGTAAACCAGAGGCCCAGAGCTACATCGTCTTCAAACCGCAATCAATCCAGGCACTCTAACTAGCACAACAGACCACAGTATTTTATTAACGCCCACACAACGTAAGGTAAGTTATTCCTCTTGCTGCCAACCCTTTCAAGAAGTTCGAGGAGTCGGCCCGGTTGACGCTCTCCTGTGCTCACGACCCATGACATGAGTTGAAGACCACTCACTCCTTGGAAAAAATACTAGGTAGCTACGTGCAAGTGCCTACTTACTCCCATCATCAATTATTGAAAGGTATCTTCCCAGCCTTTGTGCAACGCATCCTCCTCATCGGAACCTACTCGCACAAGTTGCTATACCTGAGAGGTCGAGACCACTATCGATTCTAAAAGCTGGATTCGTACGCAGATCTGCCCACCCTTACGCCTTGTATTACGGCATACCCTGGAGCACATAACGGCAAAGGCCAATCCAGATCATGGACCCTACGGATAAAACCTAAATCTTAATAACAGCACAAAGCAGCACTAGGTACCTTTGCTAACCACTAACTACCGTTAAATCAACATTATAATAGACATGGAGTCAGAGCTTTCGTACCATGTTGGAGACCTGGCGAGCACCGAGTCAAATGTTGACTCAACAGAAGGTAATATTGCCTCTTTATTTGTTACTTCTCACCTTTCAGAAGCCATAACCAATTCGAACTTCGCTTATTGGCGTAGGCTCAGCGGTACCGGCTCTCCCAGAACCTAGCCCGTCCTCTCTGAGCTCTGAACGCATCATCGCCGAGAGCGGCCCACCCAAGATGCCCATTTACCTCTGGGTTGGCATCAGCAGAAACCCCAACGTTGTGAGCAGATATGATATTCTTAACCAGATCGACGCAGAGCTGCTCCCCGAGAGTCCGGGCCAGAGCCATCCTTCCCTTTCCCGCTTCTTTGTGCTTTGCGGTCTTGGGGGGCTCGGCAAGACCCAGACCGCAGCCCCTCTATGCACTCGAGAGAACCGAGGATTTTGACGCCATCTTCTGGGTCCAAGCCAGTGACGTTGGAAACCTCTACAAGGGATTCTGTGGCATTGCTGAAGCCCTCGGCCTCATGGATGAGGGCGACAAAGAAGATATGGTCATCTGCCGCGACAAGGTACTGCAGTGGCTTTGTAACCCGCGCAAACAGCAGCAACCACCAACAGCGGCGAGCTCTGCCGATACCACTGCAGCTGGTTCTAAATTTGCGAAGTGGTTGATCATCTTCGACGGTGTCGACGATATCGACATCGTGAGCGAGTTCTGGCCGCTTACAGCCCACGGTTCCATCCTGGTGACATCCCGGGACCCCTGGCCAAGACTGATCTCGCCATGGAAGGGATTGATCTTCCATCTATGACTACTAGCGAATGCATTTTGCTCGTCAATAACCAGATGGGCGAAAGTATCAGAATTTATAGCGCTGACCCCCGCCCTCAGACTCTGTTTGAACACCTCGGCTACCTCCCTCTAGCTATCTCCCAGATTGCCGCGCAAGTCAGAAGGGATCATACGACCTTCGAGGAATATCTTAGGATATGCAACAGAAAGCACGAGAGCAGCGAACTCGACACAGGCCTGTTGCTTGGAAAACTCAACAAAGTCAAGGCTCTCCCGCCCAGAGAGCAATACCGCTTTACCGTCTCTACGGCCTGGAAGGTCGAGTCGTTCTCCCGCCAGACGCTTTGCCTCCTGTGTGTGATGGTGTTCATGGATCATGGCGCGGTGGCCGAAAGCATTCTACAGCAAACGGTGGACATGGACAACCTGGACTTAGAGGACGACGACCTGGACTTAGAGGACGACAACCCGGACCTAGAGGACGAGCTTAGGATTCTCTATCCCTGGTACAGCCGCGTGTACTTTCCCGCCCGAGCCGAACTCTTGAGGACCTCTCTCGTGAGTAGAAACACCGAAACCGCGGCGCTTGGATGTAACAAGCTAGTGCAGGAGGTCGTGCGGGCAAAGATGACGCCCAAGGAACGGTACATTTATTACCAGATCGCCGTCGATTTGCTCTGCGGAGCCTGGGAGTCTGCATCGGGCAGGCTCCACCGGAGCCACCGGAGCGAGAGCTTGTACAAAAAGAAAATCCAACACGACCAGGTTTTGCCTCATGTGTTGACCATCCTTGCCGCCTACGACTCGGTCGCGGGATACTCGAGCCTACCGTTTGAGACGGCACGGCGTCTGCTTACGTTGCTATCCGTGGCAAGCTGGTAGACTGAGATTCCAACCCCGCTCGGGACATCTGGCCGCTGATAAACGTTGGAAGCTACTGGGCGCGGGAAGGGCAATTTGAGTCGGCGTCGATAGTTTTTGCAAACGCCGTTTGTGACGAACCTACTTCAGGACCCTGTCCTGTTAGGGTTCAGCTTCGGTTGAAGGTAATCTCTCAAGGGTGCTTAGGTTCGGTGCAGCCAAAGGGTGCACAACAAAGACTTGTCTCAACAGTAGGCTTTCGAGCTTGTAGCGAACTGTAGTTGTGATTGCTAACTGGAGAACTCCCAGAGCTCTCCAGAACGGGTGACTATATACTATCTAGGCTTCCTAGGTACCGGCGTACCTTTTGCTGGGAACGTGAGGAACGGTGATCGTTCCTCTCGTTCCAGACTGGATCCTGGGAACGGTAGCCGTTCCCTTCGTTCCTCTGCTGATTGGTTTGAGACCCATTCTTAATGATTGGCTGGGAACGCTTCCCGCGCGTGCCCCCATCGGGGCGTGGTACGCGACCATAACCGTGACACCGTTCTCATCTACAACCATTACGGCGATGAGATGAAAGACTTTGTGATGGTTCCTTTCAAGTCAGCCGCCCGTCTGCTCGACTGAGAAAAGGATGGGAATTGACCGGCGAACCATGTTCGGATCCTGCTTGCGAATGGGATTCCGGGCTTTGGGGAATGGGCTGGGCGTCGGGCGATGGAGCGATGGAGAACCGCGAGATTGAAAGATGGTCCTAAGGTCGCATAGCCGGACAGCGATAGGTTATCAACGAAATCATACCGGTGCTTTATCCAGGGTATTGCCTGTAACGGGCCGTTCATTTGTATTCTTGTTTTTTCACTTTCAATTTTGGTAAGAAGTAGATTTGATACATGTACATGTAGCGTGAGCGAGCACCGAGCTATGAGGTCGGCAGATAAAGGATGGGGTCTTGCCGCTGAAAATGCATCATCTTCATCCATGTCATTAGAGATGTTTTGCGATGAGTGTAAATGGAACAATTTCAGTCGTGATCTTTCAGTCGTGATCTTTCAGTTGTGGTTGACCGGTAAAACCTCGGGTACCTGTGCCTTGGAAGATCTTGACTGTTGGCCCATGGCAGGTGGCATCGTTGGCCCTTGCCATTGGTGCAGATCCAAACAGACTGGCTTGACTGGTTGGTTTCACATCCCTGACGCGAGGGTGAGATCAACCGAGAACGCACATCCATTCGACCCGACGGCTTGGCACATCACAACCATGTCAAGTCGGCTCCAGTTAATTCGAGATTGGCCAGAACAATGATCCTCCGAATAGTGGGTTCGGTGCCCATTCTCACAATTCTGAGATTACAAAGGCCATGTCTGGCTTCAAAGCCCACGCTGATCCGGGATTTTTTGGAAGGTTGCGGCAGAATGTCTGGCTGTTTGTGGGGAACCCCGTCTTGGCTATTCTTGGTATTTATTTCGCATCTCACGTTGGCCAATCCCATGCCGGCCTGAGTTACCTTCAACGCTTGCAATTTTATTCGACTTTGGGGAAGGCACCGCGGTAAAAGAGCGAGAACTTCCCATGTGCCGCCCTGCATCGTCTGCTTTTCCCCGCTTTTCAACGACATAGTGCTCATCAAGAAGTTCATGCTCGCGGCCTGCTTGACTGAGGATCCTGTTTTCGTTTCAGGGTCGAACGAATCGGAGCGTAGTGAATTCTTTCGTAGCACAGGAGAACAGGAAATGTCTCGACCATTGGTTCTGGCGAGCCTGGGCGCCCCGATTTCAGGGGATGTCGCCCCATCTTGGCAGACGCAATGCCGATGCTGAAGCTGCCATTCCGAGACTCCCAAGACTTCTTGGAAAAGTCTTGGACAGTGGCTATGCTTGCAATAACCCCTTTTCGGGCCGGCCGGGTGGTCGCGTTTTAACTGTCGCGCGCCCCCGGCACCACGCACCAACAGGTTTCTTGCACTTTTCAAGACCACCAACGTCGCTTCCTCTTTCCAGTCAATCGCTCTTCCAGATTGTTTCTGTCCTTCACCCCTTCGGCCAAATCGCTCGTTTGATGGCCATTTGAAATTTTAAGCTTTAATTTTCATCTATCCCAGCCAACCCGTGATTCCTGGTTTTTCCGCATTCAAACCCCACAACGAAACATCCGATCACACGACACAAGCAAAATGAGGTCTGCAGCTCTGTTGTCCGCTGCGGCGGCCGCGGCCGCCGTGAACGCTGGCCCGACGGCGACCCTGAGGTCCAAGCCCCGCGCTACCGAACTCGAGCCCATTACCGTGACGGGCAATGCCTTCTTCAAGGGCAACGAGCGCTTCTACGTCCGTGGTATCGACTACCAGCCCGGCGGTGCCGCGGCGAACGTCGACCCCCTGGCCGACACCAAGGTCTGCATGCCCGATATCGAGAAGTTCAAGAAGCTCGGTATCAACGTCATCCGTGTCTACTCGACCGACAACTCGAAGGACCACGATGAGTGCATGAACGCCCTCGCGGATGCCGGCATCTACGTTGTGCTTGATGCCAACAACCCGCTCTACTCGATCCACCGCTACGAGCCCCACGGCTCGTACAACACCCCCTACCTGCAGAGTGTGTTCGCGACCATCGATGCCTTCGCCAAGTACAGCAACACCATGGCCTTCTTCTCCGGCAACGAGGTCGTCCACGACTTCAAGAACACGACTCTCGCGGCCAAGTACGTGAAGGCCACCGACCGTGACATGCGCCGCTACATCAAGGCCCGCGATTACCGCAAGATCCTCGTCGGATACTCGGCTGCCGATGTCACCGACAACCGCATGCAGACTGCCCAGTACTTTAACTGCGGCTCGGACGATGAGCGCAGTGACTTCTTCGCTTTCGTAAGTTCCACCACCAAGCATGGCCTTTAACAAAAAGACTCGGTACTGACTCGGACGCAGAACGATTACTCGTGGTGCACTAGCGACTTCGTCACCTCCGGCTGGGACAAGAAGGTTGAGGCCTTCCGTGACTACGGTCTCCCCCTCTTCCTGTCCGAGTACGGCTGCAACCAGAACGTGCGCAACTTCCGTGAGCTTGAGTCGCTCATGCACAGCAACATGACATCTGTCTACTCTGGCGGCCTCATGTACGAGTACACCATGGAGCCCAACAAGTTCGGCATCGTCGAGATCAAGGGCGGCCAGGAGAACAATGGCAAGGACCAGACCGGCGACCGCAAGGAGCTGCCCGAGTTCGCCGCTTTCGCTAGCGCCATGAAGAAGTACCCCGCCCCTACTGGCGATGCCGGCTACACCAAGACCAACAAGGCCTCCGAATGCCCCACCGAGGATGCCCACTGGGCCGTCGGCTCCTCTACTCTCCCTGACGTTCCCGAGGGTGCCCTCAAGGTTTGTCTCCCCTCCTCCCTTTCGCTCGCCGGCGCGGCCCGACCTCTTCTTGGATAACCCGCTAACGGACACAACAACAGTTCTTCGATGAGGGCGCTGGCAAGGGCCCTGGACTGAACGGTGCCGGCTCGCAGTGGGCTGTTGACCAGGCCTCGACCTCCGAGGGCGGCAAGAGCAGCAGCGGCAGCACCGATGGCGGCGACGATGCCGAGACCTCGGAGAACGCTGCCATGCGTGGCACCATCCCCAGCCTCGACACCGCGCCGTTCTTCGTGTCTGGCGCTGTCCTCTTCTTCACCCTTGTTGGTGCCATTGCCTTGTAAATTGAGGAGTGAATACTGGGGGGTTGGATACGGGGGTGGCTTGGACTATTTTTTACATTTAATATACCTACCGTCTAGGCCAATGGTTGCAGCGCTTATGTTTCTCGGGCATAGCACAATGGGAGTTTGAATTTTTGCATTCGTACTGAGACGGTTCTTGGTGTAAATATGTGTGTTTTTTTGGTTACTTATTATACACGGCGCCTCGCATTCTATTATTCGAGTATTGAGTTTTACTTCCCCCTTTATAGCCCCACCATTGTTCGGGTTAGTATTCCCGCTCTACGCTATCCAGTGTCTTCCCTGCCTCTGCGTACCTTCTCAGCTGCTGGAATTGTTACGCGGTTCGGTGAGAGTTGGCACAGCGTGGTCAAAACTTGGCAAGAGGTTGTGTCGTGGATCAGTTGGCAAATTGGGGGATTATATGTGGTTACACATGGGTGGTTTCAGATGGCAGACATGTCCCAGAGACCCGACAGCGGCGACAGGCCGGGCTCAAAGGTCATCCGGCAACGGGTTCGACATCATGTCCACCCCATGCAACTCGGACTTGTGGATGTGTAGCGCAGGCAATGTCTCGAACACGACGACGCATTGCTGGCAACGGAGGTCCGACTGGGGAGCAAAAATCAACCGTTAGCTCCCCAGGTACTCACGTGCAGGCAGTATCTCCACGGCACCTTTGAAAAGGGCCCAAAACAAAAATAAACAGAAGAAGAACCAAAAAGAAAAGCACCCCAACTCACCTCCCTCACAAACGGCCGCTCAAGCGGCAACTCACGCCCATTGGTAACCACCACAAAAAAACCTGCTCTCCGCCCCCGGCTCTTGCATCCCCGCAACCTCCAGCAAACCCCAACACCTCCCGCCGCAGCGCAGCAAACCCAAGCGGCGCCTGCTCCGGCAGCTCCACGCCAAGATCCACCTCCCGCTGCCCAAAAACCATCACGAACGCATAGGCAACATATCCATAGGCGGAGGGATCCTGACCACGCCGGTGCGGGACGAAGAGGCGGACCGAGCCCAGGGCCGCCGGGTTGGCGGCGGCGAGCCGGGTGCGGAGAAGGGCGGATTGCGGGTCGACGTTCTGCGTGGCCGCGGATAGCCCGCCGAGGCCCCGGAAGAAATGCGGGGGGTTGTGCTCTGTGGGCGGGACGTTGTGGGCGGTGAGGAAGCGGTCGAGGATGGTGATGGGGACTTTGAAGCCGCGGAGGAGTGTGGTGAGGCCCATTTTTTGGGGGGGTGAGGTGGGTTGGGTTGGGGTTTTGGGGTTTGGGTTGTGTTGGCGTTGGTGGTGTTGGTGATGGTTGGAGGAGGGATGGGTTGAGTCTCGCTTGGCTTACCCCTATTGGCTATTGGCGGGTAAGCTGAAGTTGCACGGGTGAGAGTGCTGTATTTTCTACCGATGCATAGCATGCCTCTTGGCTGCATGTCATCAATCGAATCTCGCTCTTTGGAAACGCGGAATCGTGCTTGGAGCCAAGTCCGGCTCGGTCCCGTCCCGTGTGACCCTACATCGTGAATGGACAAAGCCGGACAAACTTCTTGCCCTGCCACCCAGGACGCGCGGTTCTGGCTACCGGATTGGCCCCATCGACAACATACTCTGGTTGTGGCGTGCAGCACAACATAAGGATCGCTCGTCCGGTGCCTCCAACCTACTTATATACTGTGTAAGCAAATGAGGCCGCCGAGATGTGAGACGTCTAGGGCGTCTTTGTCTCGGTGCTCTCATTTGGAGTATTGGCTCCAAACGCAGTGTACCGCCTCCCGAGGCTGTATCATAAATTCCCCCAGAGCCCACCTTCATCGTGCCACGACCTCTCTGTATCTCCATGCTCTGTTCTACCCGGGGCCAGCAACACAAACCAACTCCACCGTGAAGTCGAGTACCCAACACCAACATGATTCAACGTCACACATACCACCGGGCAGCAACCCTGCTAGCCTTCTCGTGGCTGAGTACGTCAACTCACATTTCCCGCCCCCTTACCCCAAGCACCAAGTGTAACCACGGACATACCCTGCCCAGCACCACTAACCAACCCCAGTCCTCACGGTATCCGCCCGTGTCGGCGGCGGCAGCTCCGACACCACGACCAACACGGACGCCGCCAGCTACAACCCCAGCTACAACCCCAGCTACAGCCCATACAACCCCTACAACCCCAACAGCGGCAACCCCGGCGCCGGTGCGGGTGGATTCAACCCCGGCTTCGACATCACCCAAATGATGGACTACCGGCGCATCCACGGCATCCTAGCCGCCACCGCCATGGTGGTGCTGTTCCCCGTGGGCTCGATCATTGTGCGGGTCGTGCCGGGCCGGTTCGCCGTGTGGGTGCACGCGGGCTTTCAGATGCTCGCGTGGGCGGTGTATGTGGCGGCGGTGGGGATGGGGATTTATTTGGTTAGTTTGGTGGGGGATCGGTTGCCTGGGGGTGGGTTTGTAAGTTTTGATTTTCTTTTCTTTTTTTGTGCTTTTGGGGTTGAGTTTGTTGGTTTGTTGGGTGGGTTGTGGAGTGATGGTCACTTTGGTGCTGGTGGTGAGTGTGCTGACTGATTTGGTGATGTTAGTTCGAGAACCCGGACACGAGGTATCACCCCATTATTGGCCTGGTCTTGCTGGTGCTGTTGATTGTCCAGCCGGTTGTTGGCTTCATCCACCATAGGGTGTTCAAGAAGGTGCAGAAGCGGCAGGTGTGGTCGTACGTGCATTTGACTCTTGGGCGTGTTGGCATCAGCCTGGGCATCATCAACGGCGGCTTGGGGCTGTATCTTTCGGGCGCCTCGGCCTACCACAAGAGGGTGTACGGCATCGTGGCCGGTGTCATGTGGGCCTTGTGGATGGGCGTCGCCGTTTGGAGTGAGGTGAGAAGACTGAGGAAGAATCGGAAGGGAACGGAGACGGTCGTGTCTAAGGGTCCTCCCGCTGAAAGTGCAAGGGTGAGCCAAGAGTAAAAGCATGTTGGGCCTCGTTGATCTCGGGCTACCTCGTGTTTCGGTGAATCTTGAGCTCCTAGCAATGAATACGTACCTGTTCACTTTTTGACCTTCGACCGAGATTGGAGTACAGAAGGGCGGGGCAACGAAGCAAAAGTTGTGGGTATGCTCCTATAGGCCTGCGTGCAACAATGTGCTCGCGCAATCGATAATCTAGGATTCTCCTTTCTCCCCCTGGACCCCGAGTCAGATCCGGGCCCAACCGGCCCACTCTACCGAGACAACGTCATATTGCGCAGGCCCTCATTATCCCAACTCGACGTTGTCTCTTGCAGACGTAGGTGGGAGAGTAACTCATGGTTTCTCCTCTGTTGTGTCCTCCGAGGATGAAATGTAGGTTCCGGGCAAGGATCCAATCACTCCATAATCCCGCCAACCCGGTTTTGTGTCCTGTCCTGAAGGTTGTCGAATGCAGATCATGCCTAGTAATTATCCCGTATTAGTCAACCATGCGGCTCTGAATGTCGAGACTGAAGTCTCCATACACTACGAGGTATTCTGGTGTGGAAACGGAGAAACGTCGGATTGGTGGGGAATTGTGGTGGTTCTTGGGCACCGAAGACGCCAGAGAGGTTTCCTGGTCCCCAACTGCCCGAACCGATGTGGACCAACGCCGGAGATAACTGCGGCCATGGTCTCGGGACATCGGTAGTATAACCTGCATAGGAAGAATGTGGGGAAGACCATGAAACAAACTACGTGGCCTTGGCGTGTCACATCGTTGGAATACCACCATCGCAGATGAGAGGCCCGCTAGGGTGATCATCTTAACCGTACAGGGGGCGTTCGGCAGTCTTCGTAGCGTTCCTTGACCGTTTACCACCTGACCCTCCAGGGGGGAGGCGGAGGGAGGCTGCCGAATGTGACTGAATTTGGAGATTCTCCGTCGGAGGAAAGCCAAATGATGCAGTTTCGCGTGGAATTGCATTCGTCCCGACGCCGAGGGTGTGGAAAGCGTGACGACATCATAGCGAGACTCTGTTCATAAAACCTGGGACGTCCGGCTTCATCGTGAACACTGAAGACTTCCAGGTTGCTTCGTATCCAGTGACCCAACTCGCCAGACCTCACCACTTCCGGCACCACCCCCATTCAGCCAGCTTTCCTCGGCCGAGATCTCCCTTTGATTATCTCAACACCCACTCCCTCAACATGAAGCTTCTCGCAGCCGCCTCGCTTTTGGCGTTGGCCACGGCCTCGCCGACTCCTACTCAGCCCCAGGCTGGAACGCCCCGGATGGCAAAGAGGGCGGACGTCTCAGAGGCGGCCAACCTGGGATATGCGACGCTCAACGGAGGGTAAGTTTGTCGGTTGTATGGGACACACAGACACCTTGCTCTAATGCGTTCTTGTCGGATAGAACAAAGGGAGGTGCGGGTGGTACCGTGACAACGGTGTCAACCTTGCCTCAGTTCACCGAGGCTGTGAACGAGAAGAACAGCGAACCAGTTGTGGTATTTGTCAAGGGCGTAATCAGTGGTGCCGCAAAGGTGCGGGTTGGCAGCAACAAGAGCATCATTGGTTTGCCTGGATCAGGTAAGCAGCAAGCTTGGCTATTATCCCCCGGGATCAGAACTTGGTGATAGACGTGAACTTACGACCGTTTAGGCTTCAAGGGTGTTGGCCTCCACTTCAGGAAGCAGAGCAACCTTATCGTGCGCAACATTGTCTCTTCGTTCGTTGAGGCTGACCAGGGTGATGCACTCAAAATCGAGGTATATACTCGAGTTCGTCCTTAGCTGGTTCCAGGTACCTAATGTTGTGACTGTGTTAGGAAAGCACCAACGTCTGGGTCGACCACTGCGAGTTCTATTCCGCCCTTGTTGCCGACAAGGACTTTTATGACGGGTTGGTGGACTCGTCGCATGGTTCCGACTTCATCACCATTTCCCAGTGAGTTTGCCAATGTTATCCCCTTACCATAGGCCCCGGGACTGATTTCTTCCAGCACTTATTTCCACGACCATTGGAAGGCTTCCCTCGCCGGGCACAGCGACAGCAACGGTGGCGAGGATACGGGGAAGCTCCACGTCACGTACGCCAACAACCACTGGAAGAATATCAACTCGCGCGGACCGCTGCTCCGGTTCGGCACGGGCCACATCTACAACTCGTACTTTGAAAAGTAAGTCACCGGCGTTGGTATGATATCGAAACGCGACAGGCAAGCTGACACATTGTTCACTTAGCATGAGCACGGCCATCAACACCCGCATGGGCGCCCAGGTGCTGGTTCAGAGCAACGTCTTCAGCAACGTGACTGCTCCCGTTACCAGCCGTGATTCGAAGGAGGTTGGGTAAGTTGGCAGCTCATTCCTCGCGTGGCTGCTCAAGAAATAGATGACTGACGCGGCCTCAGATATGCGACGGTTATCGACACTGACCTCGGTGGTGGCCTGAACGATGCGCCCAAGGGTAACATGGCCACGGACGCGGTCGGATACCAGTACTCGCTTCTTGGCTCGGGAGCGGTCGCCGGGAAGGTCCCAGGCGAGGCTGGTGCTATTCTGACTTTTTGAATCGGGACCTAAAGTGATCGGGTAGAGGTCGATGTGTGGAAAGGTGAAAGAAGGTTGAGTTTCCACTGGAGAAGAGTTGTGAAATTTTGAACTGGCCACCATGTAACTTCCATTATTAAGGGAAGGAACAAGCCGTAGCCACTCGGGCGATGGAACCAACAAACCAAACCTCAGTGCCAATCCCCTCTCCCTTTCGAATCCACTTGACTCTCGGTTCCAACCCTTGGCTTTGCTCATGTTTCACAGCGTCGTCCCACTTTGTGTTTCACACCATTCGCTTCAGCCTCTCAAATTACACGCGCCAACTTGTATTGTCAATCTGAACCTCTGCTCTGCACGTACACGTATCCCGTACCCGTATGATCCCCGATACACTACACACCCGAAGAAAAAAAAAAAAAACATCTCCATCCTACTCTCCCCATCTTCAAGCCCTCAAGCTCATCTTGGTGACCAATCCCTTCTGTCTCGTAAACCACCTGCACAACACCTCCCACTCCCTATTCGGATCCTCCAACTCAATCTCATACCGATTTACCAGCGTCGCCACCACCTTATACACCTCCACCAGCGCCAGATTCCTCCCCGAGCAGACCCGCGAGCCACCGCCAAACGTCAAATCCGCCGCGTTCATCCTCTGCAACCGGGCCTTAAACCCCTCCTCGGACTCCCCCTTCCGCCCTCAACCACCGCTCCGGCCGAAACTCATCCGCATCCTGCCCCCACACCCCCTTATTCCTCCCCACCACGTACGCGTTCATCCCCACCCCGGCCCCCTTCGGCACGTAGCCGCCCCCACCGGGCAGGGTCAGCCCCCCCGCCGGCACCCACCGCTCCAGCGGCATGCCGACGGCCGGGTGCAGGCGCATGGCCTCGCGCACCACCGCCTCGAGGTACGGCAGCTGGCGCGCGGCGGCGTACGGCGCCGGTTTGTCCGTGGCGAAGCCCGCGGCGCGCACCTCGGCGGCTAGGCGGCGGAAGGTGGCCGGGTGGCGCAGGCAGAAGTAGAAGATGGCGCGGATGGTGATGGCCGTGGTGTCGGCGCCGGCGAGCAGGTTGACCAGGAGGTAGCCCATGATGATGCCGTCGTCGACGAGGTCGGGGTGGGTGGACTTGGACTCGAGGAAGTGCTGCAGGTAGTCGGGGGTGGCGGGGTTGAAGTTGGGGTCTTTGCCCTGCATGCGCGTGATGAGCGAGTTGAGCGAGATGCGCGTGATGTTGTCGAGGTTGGGCGGGCCGATCCGCTTGATGGGGTTCTTGTCCAGGAGGTAGTCCGCCCAGGGGATCTGGCCCACCATGCTGAAGTAGTCGGCCGCTTTGTCGGCGATGGTGATGGTCTGGTCGAAGTCGTGCCCGGCGTCCATGTAGCCGAAGCGGCGGGAGAAGGTGGCTGAGCTGATCAGGTCCCAGGCGTCTGTTCACCGGTGTTAGGGGGTCAAAGGTGGTGGGGTAGGGAGGGGTGGTGAAAAAGGGGGTATAGTGACGGGGAGAACATACAGAAGGCGATCCATTCGCCGAGGTCACACGGCTTCTTGGTCTTGACGAAGCGGGTGTCAATGTGCTTCAGCAGGTCGGTGATGACCGAGTCCATGTGGCTCTCGAGGGCGAGCACATGGGCAAGGGAGAAATACTTGGCCACAGGGCGTTTCATGCGGGCGTGCTCGGCGGGGTCAGTCGTGCTGAAGATGTGGAAGGTCTGCTTGCCGTTGACCATGGCCGAGTTGTTCTCGTAGTACTGGGTCTGTTACGTCAAGGCTGGTTAGCTACGGCCCCGGTCTGGTAAAGTTGGCGTTCCTACCTTGAGCCATTTGCCATCTGTGCTGTAGATGGTCTTGATGAGCTCCGGATAGTCGAGGTCGAGCAAGTTGGGCCCGATACGGACAACCGGGCCATATTTGTCGTGAAGCTTCTTGATCCTCTCCTGATAGTTGCCGGAATACACCTGGGCGAGGCGCCAGAAATTGGTATAGCCTAATTCGGTGGTCGGGTGAGCATGTTGATGGCATGGGCAAAGGAATGGGAATTTTTACCTGCAAGGAATGGCCCAGGATATTTCCGGAGAGGCGACGACACCCAGGAGATCGTATACCACGCGACAAGCGTGAGAGGAAGGACAAGGGCTGCGGAGAGCCACGACACGTTGGGGGCGGCTTGCAACGGCAACCCTTGCCGCAGAAAGAGTGACTCCTCAATAGAGGACGGCATGTTCACAACACAAAGGTGACAGTCAGGTGGCGGGCACGGAAGCAAGCCAGACAGAGAGCCCCTGGGCGCCACCAGAAGCCCTTCACCGGGGGAGAGCCGGCGGGTTTAATGCCTTCACAACTCCTCGACCGAGAGCACACCCCCGAATACCAAGGTGTCCATCCTCCCTTCGCGGCTGGGTCCGAACAGGGATGCGCTAATGCAGCCGTTGCAGTTTGGGGACGGGATCGTTCCAACATGTCCACCTAACTAACCTATTTCGCCACCAGGGAGGCGTCCAGACCCTCACCGTCCTCCTTGCGCTGATGCTATTGAAGTTCATGCTGATGAGAATCGGCAGGAGCAATATCAGCTTCTCACAAGGAAGGGGAACAAGAGACAGTGGATGATATTTACCGTGTCCACGCCCGTCGCCCTGTGATAATTTCCTTTGTGGCGAGGGCGAACAGGGCTCGTTGACGCCACTTCCCGAGCTGGCCGGGTCCAGAACCCGAGGGAACGGGAAAAGCAACGCGGCGGCTAGTACGGCAGCAAAGCATGTGAGGTGAAGAGATTGCGGTCTAGCCCACCCCGCCCTTACCCCCGAGTCGCTCCGCTGGTGTCTCGGGGACGTGTCCTTCTCCCCCCGCCGGGGAACACGGCCACGATATGACAAGCAACAATTGTCGCCCGAGCTAGCGGCGCTATTGCCGTGTTCATCGACCGTAGCATCGTCAGGCGAGAGAATCATTGGGCTATCCAGCACAGCGTCGGCTTATACCCCGCAGATCACTTCCTTCTGTTCTCGAACGGGACAACCACGCATGAACCCATGCGTCGGAGCAACGGTGGGAGGATTTTCAGGGTCCAAATTTCCAGCGAGGTTGCGGCTGGACTCCGCACACAACTCACCATGTCTCACATGATCACAGGAGGCTGAGAGGGGGCGGTTTCGTGGAAATGAGAAATGGACGGAAGGAGGCATTGCAGCCGGGGGTGGGGCAAAGCCGTTGCCGGGAAAGAAATCCAAGTCACGGATCCGGCGATGGTTGGGCCCTTGTCCGGCAACAACGATCTCGGCATGCAAGAGGATTGATGGGGACTCTCTGGCGTTGGGTGGCCCGACGAGCCTGGGAACGGCTCCAACCATGGAACTTCCCAAGAAACCAAGAAACCCAGAAACCAAGAAACACCAAGCTGCCAAGAAACTAACGATTCCTGACGGGCCGGGGCGTCAACCCCTGGTTCCGCGAGAGCTCCCCGTCTGTTGCATGACACGGTTTTGTCGCATGGCGCTAATGGTATGTACATACAATTGCAAGGGATGGGATTTATGCTGCCACGGGCAGGTGGGTCAACGCTGTTTTCATTATCAAAAACTTCTGGGAGAGATGATAGAAACCTGGCCCAGCGTGAAATCCCTCCCCAGAATCCTTGAATGCCCAGTTACGTGATTGCGACGTTTGGCCGGCGGCACGTGGGGGGATCGGATGGACTCGGTGGAGATTTATCACTGATACGGTGCTGAGATTGGACTCATTGGAGTGCGTTGCCCCTGGCCCTGGAGAATGCAACACGTCAGTGACAATCGAAAGCGCGCACGGGGTTGTCGCTGGCGTCCATACCTCCCACGACAACTGCGAGTTGAGGAAATGCAGCATGGCGTACGTATCATCCTCCTCTTCACCGAGTGCCACCGACGGTCCCTTTCGCAAGTAGAAAGGGAACTCGAAATATTCCGGGTAGAAGCCGGCGTATTCCCAGTCCACGATGGCTGCGATCTTGAGGGTAGTCGGGTTGACGATGATGTTGTGCTGCGAGCAGTCGTTGTGGCAAAACACATACTCGGCATGGTCAGATGGGCGGAGTTGGCTCCAGTCATCCCTCTCGGTCTCGCACAGTACCCGGTAGGGGGGGATCACGATTCCAGATGGCCCTCCCATGCGGTTCGACTTGAGCGTCTTGAGCCGGGCCAGGTGGTTTTTCAGCTCGACGATGACCACGTCCTTCTGGTGCTCTGGTAGGTCGGCCATACTCACGCCTTCGATGTACTCGGTGATGAGGTAATACGCGTCGTCGTCTTCGAAGTCGCAAAATAGGAGGGGGACAGGGATCTCGGTGTGCCGGTTTATGAAACGTAGCGTGTCGGCCTCATTCTTGAGCGATTCTTTCCGTAACCGGGGGATGTGGATCCCTTGGGGGCCATGCAGAAACTCGCGGGGACGGAGACAACGCTTGATGAAGGCGTTGCCGCGACGATAGTATTTTCTGTCGGTGCTGGTAGCGAAACATCCCTCCTCCGGAACTCAAGCTGAGTTGCGGTACCAGTGGTGGTTGTGGCTTCGGGGCAGCCATGCTGCCTGGCGTTCGCGGGGAATTAACAGCGGTTGGAAATGTCATATGATATCGAACGAGCGCTGAGGACGTTCCTGGCGCGTGCCAACTGATGGAGCGACGGTTATTTCCATGGC